CGCAGCCCTCCCCTCAGGCCCACCACCCGCGCGCGCGGTGAAGGACCCTTGAGCTGAGGCTCTCGAGGAGGAGGGATCGCGGCGCATACCTCGTGGTGGGGGCGTAACGGATCCGCTCCCAGCGCCCCTTTCCCCGAATCCCCCCCCATCCTCCCCCTCTCTCCTCTCGCCGCGGAAAGCTACAAATTGGATGGCCTCCCACCACCTCTCAAGCCCCCCCCCCCTTTCTCAAAGTAAAAAAAAAAGTAAAAAGAGTAAAATTCACTTGTGCTTTACATTACGATATGCCTCGGCCCCCTGCTGTCGCGTCATTATGCGGATGGGGAATACGTTTCCACCCCGAGATGTTTTGTGAAGCAGCGCGTGACGTGCGGCGGTCCGGGGAAAAAAAGAGGGGGGGGGGGGCTGGAGTAACTGCGACAGAAACTCTGCAAACCAGTGTATGGGGGTGCACCGCTAAAACTAGCTGGAACTCCGAGAGTGGAGCACCGCCCCTATACAATGGGAGACTTTGTGTGCAGTTGTTGCAATTTGTTGTTGTTGTTGTTGTTGTTGTTTGGTAGAAAATTCTGGTTTGGTTGGCAAAGATTATTCCTTTTCCTGGACAAAAGTATAGTCTCACTCCTGTGTTTCTGTAGGAGTCTAAGCGGGTCTAAAGTGTTGAACGCGTGAACTTGGTCGGTAGTACCAAACTCAGTTCGGTGCAGACAAAAAGTCCCCTGCGAAGCAAGCAAGTCTATAGAACCTTTCAAAGTATTATTTTATTTCAAACTGAAGTTCTGCAGCCGTTGAATCTGAGCGGACGCAGCATAGTGTAGCCGGTGTGCCCACTCTCGCCACTCCCCTTCTGCCCAATACGGAGTACATGCAAACCTTCAACACGGCAGTGCGGCGTCAGGCTCTGATACACGCGTGGGTACACGGTGTCCTATAGAGCGCCAGGCGCGGTTTTAAGTCCGGTAACTCTCACTTAGTTAGACGCCCGAGTCCGCATGAGAACCGTAGTGCGCTGTCAACGGATTCGTTATCATCCTGGTATACTGCTCCCGACGTTCTACAGGCGCGGTCTTTTTTGGCTGTTGCCGGAGAGGGGGCGGGGGGGGGGGGCTTATGCCCCTGACCGAGTCTCAGTGAGAGTGACGTGACAGGAGGAAAAACGGCCAGCAGCTGCAGCATCTGGCCTGGGCACGTATGTATCGAGGGTTTGGGGGACCGTTCACCAGCCCAGCAGCGGGGATAGCGCCCGCGAACCTCGGCATAGGCAGACCCGCAGGCTCCCGGTGCGCCGCGGGTTTGCCTATGCTACAGGCGCTCTCGCAGCCGCACTAAAAAAAATGCTTAGTCCCACCTTTCAAAATAATGGCACGAAAGGTTTAATGACTTTACAAATAAGGCACTAATTTTAATATCTTGAGCCCTCTTCAGTGCCTTCATAGATGCACTTAACTGAAAATTTATTTACCACCCGTCAAATGGCACGACTTAGCATCTTTTTTTTTCCTGTTTAGATGTACTTTTTTATATTCATTTTTTTAACGTATGCTCATGTTGAGGCTCATGTTATGGTTGGTGGTGATGGCCACTCTTATTATGGATTTGACTTTTTTACGGTGGGATACAAATTGCGTATGGGGTTCGAAATGGATCAGGGCCCTCAACCAAACGGGTGCACCGCTTCACCTCCCGCGGCCAGCCCGTGCGGTAGCGAGGTTGGTGGCGGCGCGTAGCTATGTCACGTGGCTGACGCACGGTCCCCGGGACGCGTGGGTGCCTCCATGGCCCCACGGACCATAATGCACAGCCGCGCTATCGCAGGGGGGGGGGGCGTTCGTAAGCCACAGACGACAATCTAGGGTCAAGTTTATTACAGCAAGGGCTGGGGGCGATCCGTAATCGTGATACTGGTTGTGAACGACGGCGAGCAGGAAGAGGGGTAAGTGGGGTAGCGGCGCGGCTTTTCGGGGCTGAGCCAGCCCTCCTCCCCACCAAAAAAGAAGAAGTAGAGCTAAACCAATAGCTGCAGAATAACTAACTATTTGGCTATGTCGAAAAAAGTTAGCTACCAAGCTAAAAATTGAGCTGTGTAGCTAAAATTGCAGCTGTGTCACTTACCATTTTTGGCTATATATCGTAAAAAATAGCAAAATATTTAGCTCTATAACTTATTCATCAGTCATCTCGTTTTTGTCTATGTATCTGTACAGACAGCTTATCTTATTATTTTTTTATTTTTTTGTTACGCGCATTAGGGGAAGCGTGAGGTGAGGTGATGAATTAGTCTCCCTCCCCGCATTCCCCTTTTCATCCCTCGGAACGTCAAATCGCCGGAGGCGTGGAGGGAGAGGAGCCCTAATTACTGTCAACTGATGTGTTTCAGTCCGCCTGAAAGTGCGTATCACGTTGTCCAACCAAATACTTTGAGAGTGTCGTACTGTTTGGGTTTTTGGGAGTTGTCTGGATTCCGGCCCACGGCCCGCGCGGGAGCGCAACGCTCTGCCTGTTTGGTGTTGTCGTCGCGCCGACACAGCAACCCCTGGGCCCATGCCGCCCCCACCGCCCCCACCGCCCCCGGCACCACTGTACTTCGTACAATGAACCTCGCCGGGGGCCGCGCTCTGGCGTTGTGGACCCTAACCCCCTCTCCTCCACCTGAGAGAGAGAGAGAGAGAGAGAGAGAGAGAGAGAGAGACGATAGGGGGGTTAGAAGCCCGACACATAGCGGGAGTTCAGGTGAGGGCGTCGCGTACAGCTTCTGGGCAGTAACGTGTTCCCGATGCCGTTCAATGTACGTACCTCCACACACGCCTCCCGTAACACTCAGGACAACACCACCGAGGACGACCCCCGGGGCACGCTATGATCTGGCGTAAAGGTGTGTGTGTGTGTGTGTGTGCGTGTGTGGATTCGTGTGTTTGTATATGGACATGGTGTCTCCTTCTTTCGCCTAGCCAGCACATTGCCCTCTGCTAGAATCCCCTCCCTGCCCCCCTACCGCCTCCCCGGGGAACGTTGCTGCTGCAGATCTCTGCCGAAGCCGCCACGGCGCCCACGCAGCGATCATGCTAACTCCCCTTTCTCCTCCTCTCTAACCGCCCCCCTCCTCCTCTTCTTTCTCCTCCTCCCTCCCACCCTCTCCACTCCCCCTCCGCCGTTCCCAGGAGACACGCCGCAGCAGTGACTGCTGCGTTCAGCGGTGCCAAAGAGACACACCTTAATTATTTACTCTCCGTCTCCTCAGTCCACACAAAGCTGGCGGGACCGGGCTCCATCGCGGAGGTGCTAATTATTTTAACTCGAGGCGGCGACGCTTCTGAGAATTTGGAGGCTTTAGCAGCGCCCCTCCTCCAGAGGAATGATTCCCCACAAAAGTTGAGAACACTGTCAAATCTGTTGTTATTGGAACATCGACTTTAAGTTTGGTAATATGCACCCGGTACAAGCCGGCAAAGTCCTGCTTATTATTGATACTTTGGCTTAGTCTTCGAATAACAATGCAAATTACACCCATGGGAAGGTAAGGTGCCCATTCGAATACGAACACTGGTCTTAAGACAAGCTTCATAGGAACACCTGGCCTGGCCATGGTGAAGCCATCTGTTCATACGGGCCATGGGTTCCCATGATGTGCCCATTTCAGGGACATGCCCATGGCATGGCCCATGGCTGCCCACAGGAGAGTCTATCCTATGCGAGTCACCATGGGAATTTTACCCTGAAACCCTCCCTCTCGTCCCTCTCCCCCTCCTCCTCCCCTTCTTCCTCTCCCTTCTAATTTTCCTTCGCTCTCCCCCTCCTCCCCCTTATATACTCTCATGCGACGAGGCCGTGCACCGCTCGTGTACCGCTCGCGCTCCGCTCCAGTCCCGCGGTAGGCGTGTCTGTCTACTTTTCCTCCCCCGTCGTGCCGTGCCAACCGACGCCAGGCCGCCGTCGTCCGGACGGCTTCTTCTGGCTCTGTTTGTATAAGCGATCTATCATAATTGTGGGGAAGGGGAAGAGGGGGGGGGGTGGCGTTTAAGGCCGAGCTAAGCTCTTCTTCTCCCTTCCCCCGCGAGGTACGTCGGTGGGAGCTGCGGTTAGGCAGGTAGGTGCTGGGCGGGGCGGG